TTTAAAAATCACTTATCCAGAAATATGGTCAGATTAGAAGAGAAATTACAGGTGGAGAGAACAATTAAAAAATCATTACCCTACCCAAATCTCACCTGAACTAGGGTACCAGCAGTAGAAACACAAAAGAAGACTGCTTTAAGAGATTCAGAAGTGGAATTAATCATTCTTGTTAAAAACTTGTATTTTGGAGAACAGGATAAGAGTTGAAGATGCCCTTGAGGTGTCCAGCAACTGGATGATCATATCAAGAAATAAGAGACACAGATAAAGTGCTCAGCATCGGGAGAATAACTGGATAAATCAGACAAATCTCTTGCTTCTCACATTAGATGTTTAACAAAAGCTTAATCTGAATGAACTCCCCCACCAACCCAAGCCACAATAGTTAGAAAAACACAAAAGTCTTTAAAAAGTCAACTTGGTCAATAAAAAACGTAATCTGTTCAGATATCCAGTAAGCAGCTAAAAATATAACACTAAGGCAGAGAAGTGGTGGCGATCCATCCCATTAGTAGTCACCAAAGGGGTTATCCAGGGAGAAAATATAGAAAAGCAGCACAGCTGAGGATGCAGCCGACAAAATGCTGACATTGGAAGGGCAGATGGAAGAAGAGGAGCCAGCTGGGATTAAAAGTGGCTGAAATAGGGGCACCTGGGTAGTTCAGTTGGTTAAGTGTCTGACTTTGGTTCAGGCCACGATCCCAGGGTCCTGGGATTGAGCCCTGTATTGGGCTCCTAACTCAATGGGGAGCCTGCTTCCCCCTCTCCCTCCGCCGCTCCTCCTACTTGTGACTTGTGCTCTCTCTAAAATAAATAAAGTCTTTAAAAAAAAAATAAGAGTGGCTGAAATGGATGTAGGACAATCAAAAGTAAAGGCAGAAGTGATCTGATTTGGCTAAAGCCATCTGTCAACAGATGAAACACAGGAAGAATTCTGTAAAGGATCCACACTCTGGATATCAATCAGGTAAGAGGTTAGGAATTAATTCTGTGGGCCAAAGATTTTTAAACATCTGGGGGATTGAGAGGCTCATACTCCAACTCTCACCATTTGCCCTCAACCCCGAGGTACTGGCATTCACTGTAGGGCAATTTGAAAATCATTCCTGTGGATAGTCATGGAGAGTTTCTGAATATGAAGTAATAGGAATAGGGTGGCGTCAGGAGGATTCATTGCATAACTATACAGGATGAATTGGAAAAAGAAAAAAGCCTAGATTTTGGTAGCAACCATGGTATTGATCTCAAAGGTACAAATGGCAGCCTGAATTTTCTTAGTTTTTTTGAAGTTTTTATTTAAAATTCTAGTGAGTTAACATATAGTTTAATATTGGTTTCAGAAGTAGAACTTAGTGATTCATCACTTACCTACAGCACCCAGCGTTCATCACAAGTACCCTCCTTAATACCCATTATCCATTTAGCCCATCCCCTGCCCACCTCCCCTCCATCAACCCTCAGTTTGTTCTGTATAGTTAAGAGTCTCTTATGCTTTTCCTCCCCCTCTTATTTCCCCCTTCCCCTATGTTGTTTTATTTCTTAAATTCCACATATGAGTGAAATCATACGGTATTTGTCTTTCTCTGACTTATTTTACTTAGCATAATACACTCTAGCTCCATCCATGTCATTGCAAATGGCAAGATTTCATTCTTTTGGATGGCTAATATTCCACTATATATGTGTGTATATAGTGTGTGTATACACACACTATGTATAAATACATACCTACACACACACACACACACAGACACACACACCACATCTTCTTTATCCATTCATTAGTTGATGGACATTTGGGCTCTTTCCATAATTTGGCTATGATTGATAATGCTGCTATAAATATCAGGGTGCATGTGTCCCTTTGAATCAGTATTTTTGTATCCCTTGGGTAAATAACAAGTAGTGCAATTGCTGGGTCATTGGGTAGTTCTATTTTTAACTTTTTTGAGGAACCTCCATACTGTTTTCCAGAGTGCCTGCACCAGTTTGCATCTCACCAATAGTGTAAGACGGTTCCCCTTTCTCCACATCCTCTCCAACATCTGTTGTTTCCTGTGTTGTTGATTTTAGCCATTCTGACAGGTGTGAGGTGATATCTCATTGTAGTTTTGATTTGTATTTCCCTGATGAGTGATGCTGAGCACCTTTTCATGTGTTTGTTGGCCATCTGCATGTCTTCTTTAGAAAAATGTCAGGGCAGCCTGAATTAAGATGTGGTGGTTAGCATGAAAAAGCTGCTTCAAGAGGGCTTTGCCAGCCTACAGAACTGGGTATTTTTGGTGGGAACTGAGACCATCTCAAGAGTTTTTAGGGAGGAGTGACATAAAGGCACTGGTTTAGTGAAGGATTAATTTAGGAATGGTAAAAAAGGATTAAACAGAGGGTAAGACTGGAGGTAGAGAGACAAGTTGTTGTAGCTGCACAGGTGTAAAGTGATGAGACTCTGAAAGAAAGTTCAGAACACACAAGCATTCTTTGCCAACATTCCACTGTGTCTTCCAGAATGGTGCCTCTAGTTCTGCCTGCCTTAGTTTCTGGTCGCCTCATCCCAAGATGATATGCCCGGGCAGATCCCCCAGCTAGCACTCACCATTCCCTGGTTAGCTAGGCTGGCATGCTACAGCCTGGACGTCCCTCTCAATCTAGCCCCAATTCCACCACTTTCATTTGTTTGCCTTGGCCTCTTGGGTGAAGAAGACTATTCGGATGCTGCTACAGTCATACACTATTTGTATTTGCCCAGGTGTCACTTTCATTTTCATTTTTCCATTCCCACCAAATATGATAAAACAGAATACTGGTCCACAAGCAAGAACTTGATTTTAAGCCCAGCTCTGCTATTGAATCATGTGGTCCTGGGCATGTCATTTTATCTTTTCTGGCCTAAAATTTCTAACCTTGAAAATAGGGACTGTGAATTAGATTAATGATAGTTAACTTGAAGAAACTGATGAAAGCTAAGGACCCCTTTCTCAGGAGATTCACATATGCACATACAAAATCTATAAACTTCAGGAGATTCATGAACACCCTTCGAGCCCATCTATGAACGCTTCCAGGCAGTGTTTCTTAAAATATGTGAATCAGAATCACCTGAAGTCTTTGCTAAAAATGCAGTCCCAGACCCTCCCAAGAGATTTTGACTTACCGTGTCTGGAATGTAGGCCCAGTAATTTACATTTTTTACAGCTCCAGGTGATTCTAATGCAGGTGGCCCATGCTGCACCATCATATCTAGATAAAGTGCTTGAAGCATCCTTGCAACTCAAGTTAAAAACTTTTGGACCAGATGCTCACTAGAATTCATTCTACAGCTAAAGTAAAATTCTGCCTCTGTCTTTGTGGGCCTATGTCATTGAGAAGGGGATAATAAATAAAAGTTAACTTCTAGGTCTTAAGTCTGAATGGTTGTAGCACAAAAAGAAAAATCCAAATTGTCCTTTTCGAGTGAGGAAATTGGTCCTCAATGTATTTGTTTCCAAAAGGGGAGAAAAAGTTTGAGGGATATTTACGACTTGTTAATTAGTTACTAAATGTTTACAAAATCAAAATCAAATAATATAAAACCCCAAATCTGGACTCTACAACTTTCTAAAGAAATGTAGCGCTAAGTATGAGTCTCTGTAAGCTGAAACTGTTAAAACAAAGATATTCACACACAGCCAACAGATTCAAGATAAATACAAAAAGTATTTCTCTTGTACACAAATGATTCAGAAGTATTTGTGAAATAACGGTATGAAAATTATAGAGCAACAATTTGAACTACCCTACAACAGTCTCATAATTTGATTTGCTGTTATTAGGTACTTCTATTATAGAAGCGGAAGATAAACATGTTAATTTGGGTTTTAGGAGGCAGCCACAACTTCCGTGGCACTTTGCATAAAGGCTTTGACTTAATCCTCTTTGAGAAAAGTATCCCTTCCACTGTATAAATGAAGAAAGTGACACCCCAGAGTCACAGCTAGATAAGTGGCCCAGTCTGAGCAAATCTGGCCTCCTAACCTGATGTTTTTCATTGTTGTGAGGACTTCCCGTCCCCATCCACCTGTGTCAATTTCCACACACGGCCTCCAACTCCTTTTAACCATCTCAGAGAGGGGATGCATTTCTCCAGTAAACCCACCTGTCAGGAGCCAGGGCTCCAAACGCGCAAAGATGGGAGGAGAGTATGGGGCGGACTATGGGGGGGGGGTTGCTTCTCCGCTCGGCCCGAAACCTCAGAGCGTCGCCCTCGGCTGGCCCCGCAGCAGAGCAACGGAGCAGAAAACCGGCTCCCTCGTCAACCTTCCCCAGGGACGGCCTCCCGGGCACCTACAACCACGAAACCAGGCTGCGGCGAGGGCTCGCGGTTGGGCCTGCATTGGGTTGCCGACCACAACGGGTAAAATTTCCTACAGCAGTCCTGCACCTCCCAGGTCCCGGCTGCAACGTGCAGCCTAAAGGCCAGGCGTGACTATGGGGCGGGACAGGGAACGGCAGCAATATTTACCTCATCCAGCTCGGGCCTGGCCGCTTCTGGCCTTTCCGGGTCACCCATCGCGCAGACTCCGCCAGAGCTACGGGAACTGAAGGAACCGAAAGCCTCAGGCCACCTCCAACTATGCTAGGACCCAGGTGCCCCGCGAGTCCACTGAGTCCGCCCCGCCTCCAGCTGCACAGACCCCTCCTACTCCTGCCGGCCCGGCTTTCTCGCCAGCGGATTGAGCAACTCCCCCTGCGCCGGCCTGGCCCCGCCTCCCCCGCCTCAGGGACCCGCCTACTCCGGCCGGCCCCGCCTCCCGCCTGCGGCCTGAGGACATCTCTCGGCCTCCGCCAACCCGCACCCTCCGTCGTGCGCACCCCGCCTCCCGCCTGCCCAGTGAGGGACTCCCCGCGCCTTCCGGCCCCGCCTCCCCGGTCTCAGGACCCCGCCCACCCCGGGAGGCCCCGCCCCACCCCGCTACCGCTACCCGGACCCCGACCCCGCCTCCCGCCGGCCCCCAGAAGAACTCGCCCGGAACCCGCGGGCCTCGCCTCCCCGCTTGCAGCGTGAGAGATTCGACCTGCGGCTTTCGGCCCCGCCCGCTTGGCTGGCTCCGGGCTCTACTCACTGGTACGGGGGGGTCTCCGGCCACGCCTGGTCACCTCTCCGAGTCGAGATTCCCCAACCAGCTCTCGCCGTGCCTCAGGAACACGGTATGTCGCGCTTACTCGGCCTGTCCTGAGACACTGCCCCGGGGGGAGGAGACACTGGAGGAGATGAGGAGAAAGCGCTCTTCGCGTGTGAAGCGGTGGTGGGAAGAGCCACACGATTGGTGAAAAAAGAAAACCGCACTGTTAAAAAATTAATGAGAAAAGGCTGCCTTGTTTTGTATTTCGGTACCCGACAAGAAGTGGTTGAGGGCAAAGTGTGGGTGTGAATGGGGTAGGTGGGGCTCCCAGAGTGAGGAGGAGAGGCAGAAAGGACTAAATTCAGGAAGATGTTGTGGAAGCTCTGTGAAATTGTTTCAACAAACTAGGTTTTTGGAAGTAGTTACTGAGCGCCTGTGTGAGCGAGGCGTTTCATCTTCAGGACACCTGTGTGAGGATAAATCACTAGGATTAACTAGGGAGCAACAGAGAGAGTCCCCCCGTGTCATGGCAGGAGTCGGTGCCGAGAGTCACAATAATGTGATTGAATGACTGCTACCCATCTCTCGGGGTGGGGGGACTGATCTGAAGATAACGACAACAGAAAGAAAAAAAAAAAGTTTAGCAAAGGGCGCCTGGGTGGCTCAGTCGGTTAAGCCGCTGCCTTCGGCTCAGGTCACGGTCCTGGAGTCCCGGGATCGAGTCCCGCATCGGGCTCCCTGCTCGGCGGGGAGTCTGCTTCTCCCTCTGACCCTCTTCCCTCTCATGCTCTCTCTCTCTCTCATTCTCTCTCTCTAATAAATAAATAAAATCTTTAAAAAAAAGTTTAGCAAATAAAAATGAGGTGAAAGAGATTCAGTAGCTTGAAGCTGAAAAAGCTGAAATATTGGGAGAGCCTTGTTCTGCCTCGAATAACATGCACCTGTTCTATGGCTAGCCGTGTGAGGTATGGTAAAATAGGATCGAAAATTAAGCTTTGAAAATGCCCAACAGCTCTTTCTAAAACCTGCCCTAGAATGGGGGATGAGAGTTATCTTTCTTAAGGCAACTACTAGGGGTCAAGTGCTGAGGGAAATGTTTTACATATATTGACTTTAAGTAATGGCTAAATTCTGTGAGGAAACTGAGTCTTAAAGAAGTTAGATAATTTACTGGCCACATGGAAAAATAAACTAAGAGCAAGGATTATGTCATTTAAAGTTATGAAACAATATGTCTACTATATGTCAGGCATCATATTTGCTATTGAAGAAACAAAAATGAATGAATTTAGTGAAAAAGAACATGGATCCTGGAGCCATATCATCATGGGCATGAATTCCAGCTCCCCCATTTATTAGCTGTGCTACCGTGGACAAGTTACTTAGCCTCTGCAAGATTCAGTTTCCTCACCTGTAGGATAAGAATAATAATGCCTTCCTAAAAAGATTATTGTGTAGATTTAATAATAGATTACCTGTAAAGCACTTACTGGGGTGGGAAATTACGATGGTAGCTTCCAAGTACACTTGTGCTACGAGTCAGGCCATCCTAAAGGTCATGGAACAGGGAGGTTCGGATCAAATTCAGTTGCTTGAATTACACAGTTTACTAAGTTAATTTAGAACCTACATCAAGGGGAAAGAGTTGGGGCAGCTAACATATTTAAGACAGGGTATGGGGAGGGGAGGGACTGGAAGGAAGGACCCTACTCCAAATCTCAATGTTACTCAACGTTCATATATCCTGCCCTTGCTGCGTCAGCTTTCCTGACCGGTGGTATAGTTATTAAGAGTTAAGGGGCGCCTGAGTGGCTCAGTCGGTTAAGCGTCTGACTTCGGCTTGGGTCATGATCTCAGGGTCCTTGGATCGAGTCCCTCACAGGGCTCTGCACTCAGCAGGGAGTCTGCTTCTCCCTGGCGCCCACCCCCGACATGTGCTCTCTCTCAAATAAAATCTTAAGAAAAAAAAAACAGCTAAGGATTAGCAAGGGGTCTCAACAGACAGAAGGTGAAGCCAACTGACTCTTTTGGAGATGCAGATCAAGGAGACCTGCTCACAGGTGTTAACTTGCCATAAATTAACCTGCTGTGAGTTTTATCTGTGTTTCCTGGGAAGAGCAGATGTGGGGCCAAAATGGATGTCACCAATTGGTGGCTGAGTTAGGAATAACATAGTTGTCAATCTGGAAGTGACATGATCTTTACCTTATGAATATTTAAGACCTACTTATTCCTTCCAGCCGTTTCTGTCTGTGACATTCATTTATTCCATTATTTTCATCTATGTTCAACATAATGTTCCATTTATTGTCTTTAACATGCCTCAGAGGTTAATAACTTATTACTATTTATACTTAACATATCTTATGAATCTCTTTAGGTCTTACAATCCAATTGCTCCCACACTTAGTTTCTTTCAATTTTTACAGCAGAATTGAATAATCCTAATATAGCAAAAACACATTACAGTGCTTTTAACAGTGCCTGGTGCATAATAGGTAGTATGTATTAGTTTCCCTCCAAGATGTTTAAAGTTAATAGGGCAGATATAAAATGTGTAACTGGAAGATCTCTGGGAGTAAGAGATTCTCTATCTTCATATAGCCTCTGTAGCATATTTTCCAAGAATACCCTCAACACTTTTGATCCCACGTGCTGTTCCAGAAACTTGATATATCCCTCTCGTCAAAAGGCGGAGTCTTGGGGGACACTTGGGTGGCTCAGTCAGTTAAGCGTCTGCTTTCCGCTCAGGTCATGATCTCAGAGTCCTGGGTTCGAGCCCCTCATCTGGATCCCTGCTCAGTGGTGAGCCTGCTTCTCCCTCTCCCCCCCCCCCCCCCCGTTCATGCTTGCTTGTGCTCTCTGAAGTAAATAAATAAAATCTTAAAAAAAAAAAAAAAGAAGAAGGTGGAGTCTCATTCCTCTTCTACTGGTGGTCTACATGTTTGTGTCTCCCAGAATCCGTGTGTTGAAAACCTAATGCCCAAGGTAATGGTTTTAGGAGGTAGGGCCTTTGGGAAGTGATTAAGTCACGAGAGTTGAGTCTTCATGAATGGAATTAGTGCCCTAGATTGTTATGGTTTTTTTTTTTGTTTGTGTGTTTTTGATTTTTTTTTGATATTGAGTTATAGGAGTTTTTTGGTATATTTTGGATATTAACCCATTAAAAAGGATATGATTGCAAATATTTTTTCTCATCCAATAGGTTGCCTTTTCATCTAGTTGTTGGATTCTTTTGCTGTGCAGCTTTTTAGCTTGTTTATGTTGGGGTTTGTTGCCTTTGTTTTTAGTATCAGATCCAGTAAAAAATCATCACTAAGACTGATGTTTAGGAGCTTACCACTTAAGGTTTCTTCTAGAGTTTTATGGTTTCAGTCTTTAATCTTTAATCCATTTAGAGGTAATTTTTGTGTATGGTGTTAAAATAGTGGGCCAGTGTCATTCATTTGCATGTGGCTGTCCAGGTATTCCAACACCATTTATTGGAGTGACCTTTCCCCATTATATGTTCTTGGATCTTTTGTTGTAAATTAATTAACTATATATGCATGGTTTTATTTCTGGACTCTCTATTCTTTCCATTGATCTGTGTGTCTGTTTTATGAGAATACCATACTCTTTTGATTATTACACCTTTGTAGTTTAGTTTGAAGTCAGGGAGTGTGATGCCTCCAGTTCTTTCTCAAGGTTGCTTTGGCTATTCATGGTCTTTTGTAGTTCTATACAGATTTTAGGATTGTTTGTTCTATTTCTGTAAAATGTGCTATTGGAATTTTGGTACAGGTTGCATTGAATCTATAGATTGCTCTGAGTAGTATGGACATTTTAACAATATTCTTCCAACCCACGAGGGCAGACTATCTTTCCACTTATTTGTGTTTTCAGTTTCTTTTATTAATGTCTTATAGTTTTCATTGTACAGGTCTTTCGCCCCCTTGGTTAAATTTATTCCTAGGTTTTTATTCTTTTTGATGCAATTGTAAATGGGACTATTTCCTAATTTCCCTTGTAGTTCATTATTGTATAGAAATCAACAGATTTCTTGGGGCACCTGGGTGGCTCAGTCATTAAGCGTCTGCCCTCAGCTTAGGTCATGGTCCCGGGGTCCTGGGATCAAGCCCCGCATCGGGCTCCCTGCTCGGTGGGAAGCCTGCTTCTCCCTCTCCCACTCCCCCTACTTGTGTTCCCTCTCTCGCTTTGTCTCTTTCTGTCAAATAAATAAATAAAATCTTAAAAAAAAACAACAGATTTCTTTATATTTTGTATCCTGTAACTTCATTGAATGTTTATTTTAATACTTTTCTGGTGGAGATTTTAGTGTTTTCTATATATAATATGTCATCTGCAAATAGTGACAGTTTTATTTCTTCCTTTCCAATATGGATGCCATTTATTTTTTTTCTTGATTAATTGTTCCAGGTAGGCCTTCCAGTACTATGTTTAATAAGTGGCAAGAGCAAGCATCCTTGTTTTGTTCCTGATCTTAGAAGGAAAGCTTTCAACTTCTTAGTGTTGATATGATGTCAGCTGTGGGCTTGTCATATATTGCCTTTACTATATTGAGGTATATTTCCTTTATACTCACTTTGAGAGTTTTATCATAAGTGGATGTTGAGTTTTTTTGTCAAATGCTTTCTCTACATCTGCGTTATCTGAGATCATGATTTTTTATATTTCATTTTGTTAATTTGTTGTATCACATTGATTTGCAGATGTTGAGCCACCCTTGCATCCCTGGAATAGATCCCACTTGATCTTAGGGTATGCTCTTTTTAATGTATTGTTGAATTTGGTTTGCTAATATTTTGTTGAGGATTTTTCCATTTATGTTCAGCAGAGATACTGGCCTGTAATATTCTTGTGGTGTCTCTGTTTTATTTTATTGTCCCGGTAATGCTAGTCTCATAAAATGAGTTTGGTAGAGTTTGAGAAGGACCCTTTTTTGGTAGAGTTTGAGAAGGACTGGTATAATTTTTCTTTGAATGTTGGTAGAATTCTCCAGTGAAACTGCAGTCCAGGACATTTGTTTGTTGGGAGGTTTTTAATTACTGAGCCAACCTCCTTACTAGTGATTGGTCTGTTCAG